CATCCTCCCTCCTCCTCTGCTTCCCACTCCCTGGGCACGAGGGGATGAGGGATGTGCGGAACTTGTCCCGTAGTCACGGCCTATCACCCAAGCCCTGGTTGTCAAAGGACCCGCCCACTCCCCAGACAGAAACTTTCCGGGAGAATGACTCTTAATTTCTCCCCAGAAAACTTGTCTCAGTTTGATGAGAGACTTGTCGAGTGCAGAAACGTGCAGCCTTGGGACAGTTAGAATAGGCTGTGGATGAGGTGAGTGCTTCGGAACCGAGGAGATCAGAGAGGGTGAGGAAGGGCCAGATGCACTGGGCCAGCTTAGTCCCTGGGAGGCTTAGCCCAGGCTGGAATGCTGGCCCAGCATCAGCTTCACTCTGGATTTGAGATGTCAGGCCCCAGACATCGCCCAGTTACAGACCAGGACCCTGTTACTAGGGCGACCTGACTGACTGATCTGGGGCTTGGAATGAAGTCCCTGCTGACTGGGAAGCTTTCACCACTTCCCGGTTCACAATCGAGTTCCAGCCAGCCCACTTGCAGCTCCCTCCATTCCTTTTCTTGTGCTTTTAAGCCAGACTAAAAGAGAAGGCTTAGAGCTATTTCTGATTTAATTCGTTCAACAAATCTTTATTGACCGCTCCCAAATGCCAGGCACTGTGCTTGGCTTCAGAGTACGTTGGTATATAAACTTAAACTCTCTGACTCCAGATTATAGTCTAGGGAGGGAGATCCGTAGCACGATATATATATGCCCTGCAAGGTAATGCGTGTTATAAATAAAAAGGTAACACGAACAATATCAAAGGAGAGATTTGAAAACACATAATTCCTAAATTTTTGTTTTAAGGATCTGGCCAAAACTGGAAGAAATACGTTTGTCTTTCTAAAGTAATACATGGGTTTCCTTTTCCTAAGCCAATGAGTGAAAAAAATCATAATATTTTAGTTAAAGGTCATGAAAGATAGACTGAGGAGTTCTTCTTAATGAAGGACAAATCTGACATGACACGAGAACCCAAACCAGGTAAAAGGATCCCCCCAAGAGATCCCAAACCAGGTAAAAGGACTCTCCACATACACACATCAGATCCCAAACCAGATAAAAAAAAAAAAAGACACCCCCCACGCTTTTATTATAAAAGACCATGGTGGAACCCTGGGAAAAATTTGCATAAGATTTTTAACTTAGATAATAGCATTGTAAAAGTGTAGTATTTCTGATTTTTTTTTTCAGCATTGCATTGGAGATAAATTCCAGACCTCTTGTGTATAGGTAAGCACTCTCCACTAAAGTACACTCTAACCCTCCCTTCTGAGTCTAGGTCCCTATTTGTTCAACTCTTTACATATTTAGACTTGTGTGTGTGCTACACTGAGAATCAAAATCAGGGTCTGGACCATGCTAAGCAAGTGTTTTACTACTGAGCTCCACCCAAGCTCCTATATAGTGAAACTATATAATAACTTTTTCATATAAAACTGAATCTTGCCGGGCCACCGCCTTTAATCCCAGCACCCAGGAGGCAGAAGCAGGCAGATCTCTGTGAGTTTGAAGCCAGCCTGGTCTACAGAGTGAGTTCCAGGACAGCTAGGACTGTTAACACAGAGAAACACTGTCTTGAAAACAAAGAAACAAAAAGCACATAATACTCTAACTAAATTTAGTTCCTTATCACTCATATTGTGCAACTCACAACCTCTTGTAACTCCAGTTCTAGGGGATTTGGTGCACGCGCGCTCGCGCTCGCGCGCGCGCACACACACACACACACACACACACACACACACACAGAGGGAGAGAGAGAGAGAGACAGAGAGAGAGAGAG